ATCTCTTATCATTGATCCCTGGTGCTCCCAAGAGGATCCTTTTTTGTTCAACCTGCAAAAATCACTTCCGCCAGGGCTTTTTCTGCCTGAAAGACTAAAGCGCCACCGAATGAATGTTCTGGACGGTGTCTTCTTCAGTCAGGGCAGGGGGGGAGGAGGGCTTCCTTCTGGTTTTATTTGGGTTTTGTGCAGCACCCCTAGCCCAGGGCAGCCCACTGCCAGCTCCCTCCTGCTTTGTCATTAACTAGGGGAGTGTTTCCTATTTTTCTTGCTCCTTTAAATGCCTGAGACCCATCTTGTGCTGCAGCACAAGTCACATTGGGAGGATGCTGGGACCGATGCTCCTTCCTATGTCCCTTGGGACGTGAGTGTGCCGTGTGTATATTTGTTGTTTCCCCACTTGCCCTGTCGAGTGAAGGAAGCTCAGTGAACACTAATTGAAATAACTCTGTGGAGTCTGGCAATTCATGTTCACGGTTCCCTCCCAGAAGCCCAAATTTTGCCCCCTCTCCATCTCCTTCAGTTTGGCTCTGGGGTGCTCCCATTTCTATAGGTTGTATTGTTTTTAAAAAATGTTTTAAAATTTACTTTAGAGAGGGAGGGGAGGAGAGAAGGAAACAATGATGAGAAAGAAACATCATCGATCGGCTGCCTCTAACCCCCCACCAGGGATTGAACCTGCAACCAGGGCACGTGCCCTGACCGGGAATCAAACTGGCGACGTCCCGGTGCATGGTCCATGCTCAGCCATGAGCCATTGTATAAATAGGCACATTATATTCCTTCTCTTTGAGCAAGGTTATTTTTCAAACACTGGGCACAACTAATTATTCAAGAAACACTTGGCAAAAACAGCATTGTATGAAAACTATACAATTCAGAATCTATTTTAGAGGCTTTCATGAAAAGCAGGAAATTTAGGGGGGAAGCTGCGTTCTTTCCATGCTAAGTGCTTGTGCACCCACGGGCCTGGGGTGGGGTGGGACTGCTTGAGGAGTCCCTGAGTGGCATGAGAAGGCGTCCCAAACACAGCCGCTTTCAGAATGCCCAGGACTCCAGCAGCTCTGGTCACAAAGGCGAGAATGAAAGGCCTGTTTTGCTGGTTCTGAGATTTGTAGGAAGCACAGTTAAATAAGCAGCTGAATTAGTATCTCGGGCCCTCATTGCAGAATTTACCCTCTGACCATTGGTGCATGTGACCTTAGCAGGAGTTTCAATGACCAAACACCGCCAGGGTAGGCTGAACGGGACATATCTGGGGTGTGGCATGTCTCCAAAGCAGCTTTGGAGGAAATGTCTTGAAATCCAAAGCTCCCCATGGAGTGAAAACTCTATTTCTTGTGTTTTACCTCCAGAATCACCGAAGTCCTGGTAGAGGGGCTATGAAGAAGAGGAACACTGATAACAACCATAGCCCCCGTTTTCCAGAACTTTCTGAGCCTGAAACGGACTTCACCTGCGTTATCTCTTTCACGTCACAGCAACGCAGTGAGGTGAGGCCCATCATTACGCCCATTTCCCAGTGGAGGAAACTGAGCCTCACCGTGGTTATGGCCCTTGTGGGTGGTCAGACAGCTGGTGACTGGCAGGGCCAGAGTTTAAACTCCACACTGATCNAGTTTAAACTCAATATTGATTGACTCTACTTCCCATGTTTTGCCCCATGACTGCAAGCTGCCTTCCTGCACCCCTTCCAGCCACGAGCCCCCCACCAAGGGACACCACTGTCCTGATTTCCACAGTGGAGATTAGTCATGTCTGTTTGTACTTTATATAAAAGGAATCACACAGTGTGTGCTTTTTGGTGCCTGGCTTCTTCCACTCAGCATCAAGTTGGTGAGACCCATGCATTTTGTTAGTATGGCTGTTGGTCATTTTATGTCTTTGCTGCACAGAATTCCACGTGTGACTGTGGCTCAATTTATTTATCCGTGTTAACCACTGATAGACGTTGACTTGTTTCTGATTCTCGGCTATCCCCCAAAAGAATCGCTATTATGAATATATAAACTTTTAAGGTTGAAGATAAAATACTTTATGGGGACAAGCATATCATGTGTGACTGAGAGTTTTAAGGCTTGTTTTTTTTTTCTTTTTCCAAACCTGTACCTTTTAATTTTCTTTTTTCTTCCTGATTTTCAAAGCTTTCACTGTTTCACCATTAAAAGTAACGTTTGCTGTAGGTGTTTGGTAGACCCCTCTTATCAGATTAAGGAAATCCCTGCTACTCTGAGCTGGTTTGATTTTTAAAAAATTATAAATGGGTATTTTGAATTTCATCAAATGAGTTTTGTTCATCTATTGAGATTACCATATCGTTTTGTTCTTTTAATATGCTAATGTAGAGAATGATAATTACAGATTTTCTGAAGTTAAGCCTTATGTTCCTGGAGTAAACCCTGCTTAGTCAGGATGCGTTATCTTTTTTTCTTGAAGTGCAGGGTTCATTTTGCTAATATTTGTGTAGGATTACTGCCTTTATGTTCATGAATGAGACTTTCCTATGATTTTTTTTTTTTACTACATTTTTCGAATTTTAGTATCAAAAGTATAGTGGACAGAATACTTTGGGAAATATTGTCTTTTTTGAACTCTGTNTCGAATTTTAGTATCAAAAGTATAGTGGACAGAATACTTTGGGAAATATTCTCTTTTTTCCCCCCTCAAATGATTTACATAAAATTAGAGTATGTTCCATGAACGTTTGGTCGAATTTACCTGTAAAATCATCTGGCCTGGTGATTCTTTGTAGGAAAATTAAACAATTGGTTCCCTTGTTTTAAAGGTTATGAGCTATTTGGGCTTTTTATTCTGTTCGAATTGGTTATTTTGAAAGGAATGTCTTCGTTTCTTCTAAGTTAATGCATCCCTATGCATTCTTTGGCTTATAGTGTCCTTTATAGTACACTCTTATCTGTATAGTCTCTGCTGGGTCTCTATTATAGCCCTTATTTTCAATATTATTTTTGTCTCTCTTTCTTGAACTCTGCNCATGAATGAGACTTTCCTATGATTTTTTTTTTTTACTACATTTTTCGAATTTTAGTATCAAAAGTATAGTGGACAGAATACTTTGGGAAATATTGTCTTTTTTGAACTCTGTTAGAAGCCTGCCAATTTTACTCATGTGTTCAGACAAGCAACTTTTCGTTTTTGTTGATCACGCTCACTACATCGTTGCTCTCTATCTCATTAATTTCTGCACTCATAGTTATTTCTTTACATTTATTCTGCTGTTCTTTTTCTAATTTCTTACGCTCAGAAAAATCAGACTTGGATCTGATGGGAGGCAGTTTAATGATGGGTGTGTATTAGGTTCTGGGCACTATGCCGAACACCTTATGTTATATAACCGCCCCTCACAGCATCCCTTTGAAATATTAATTATATTTCCATTTTGCAGATGAGGCAACTGAGGCTCATCAGTTGCCTCATCTGTAAAGTAACTTCCCCGAAGTCACATAATTATATTAAGAGGAGTTAAATTCATGCCTGAAGCATCTTAAGCTGCCCCCTAGGATGCCCAGGATGCCCATGGCACTGGGCCAGAAGGGGATTAACTTGGGCGGAGAGAAGAGAGTAAGACTGGACACTGAGGTGAGATGTCTGAGCCCTTCCATTTCTGAGCAGAGTAACGAGGGCCTGAGTAAGCGTCTTTGGGGACAGCAGGTAGAGGGGACCTAGAGCCGGGGAAGAAAAGGGAATAAGGGAGAAGGCCCAGTTCCCGTTACAAAAAATGAGAATGTGACTCACCCTGACCTTTGAACAAATCCCTCGCCAGGCTACCTTTCACGTCGTTTCTAAAACACTAATATGACAAAAATCTTCCACCGGGGCCTATTCTGTTTCTCTCTCTTTTAAAGATAAATGTTACAATAGAGGCTCTAAAAGAAAATCTTTAGAATTTTTTGACTGAGACTTTGTGAGATGTGATGGGTTAAATTCTACTTGGCTCCTGGCTCCTTTATTTTAAAATGTCAGGGTCCTGAATCATGCACGCTTAGTCATTCATTGAAAGCTAGGTTAATTAGACACAACATGGGCAGACAGAATGATGTCGTATACCTCCAGCGAAAGACATAGAGGAGACATCGGGGCAAACAGAAGGACTCCAATATATATATTTTTGTTCCAAAAGACTGGATAGTACTGATCAAAAGGGGGTGAAAAATCAGAACAAAAGATTGCAGTGAGCTCTTGGATCATGGGGCTGTGGTGGAGCCGTCAAGTGGTCGTGCTAAAGAAATTGAAAACATTCTTTGTCAGTGCAGGGAGGGAAGACCAAAGAAGCTCCCAGTCTGGAAGGAACTATAGATAGCCATTTCCAAAAACAGTTAACAGAACACCATGGAATGATCTGAGAAAAAAACAACAACACAGAAAAAACCAGGGTTCCAGGATTTGGGAAAAACATTGGCTGAAATCAGTTTCTTTACTGCAAGCCTTTTCAGAGCCTTTAAAAATTTCATGTATATTCTAAACTCCTCAGAGGGGATGCAGTATGCAGGGTTCCCAAATCTGCTCGTTTATAGGCCCTCCCCCTGGATTTCTTACTCGGATATTTCATTCTTTACCCTTTCACAAATTCTGGGAGAGGAAAGGGGCATGCCGCACAAGTTTTTCTCCTACTGTGTAGGTCTTTCTCTGGTTCCTCCAAAATGTGCCTGATGTACCGCTTCTAAGACTACTTGAGAGCTAAATGCATATATCCTATTTAAAGAAAACCCCCTCAAAGGCCAAGTAATTCTCTTCAAACCCGCAAACTTCCATTCCCAAGTTTCTCAGCTATCCAAATGAATCAATAAACTAGTTCACAAGAGGAAACTGCAGCTATTTTATACATTTATTTTTTTTTAAACCCATGCTCACTTATAATCAGATTATAAAACGAATCCCATCGCCACATCTCCTCCTGGCCACCTGGGGTGGACCAGANAATCAGATTATAAAACGAATCCCATCGCCACATCTCCTCCTGGCCGCCTGGGCTGGACCAGGGCTCAGTCGCCCGGCCGGTGCTGACCCGCGCGCCCCGGGGCCTCGCCCGCCAGCCGAGCGCAGCAGCTGTTGACCGACGGGCTCTCCCCATCTCTCCGCGAGGCCCTGGAAACCTTCTGGAGCTCCTCGAAGGGGGCGCCTTTCTCCTGCGAGAGCCTCTGCTCCTTTTTGCGAATGGCTTCCTTGATGCCCTCGATGTGGCACTTCTCTTCCTTCTCGGCTTTCAGCTTCAGGATGTGATGGGTCCTCTCCCGCAGGGCGTTGAGCTCTCGGAGGTGCTGGGCTTTGTCGCTGAGGCTCCTGCGGGCGGCGCCCCGGGCCTCCTGGATCTTCTGGTCGGCCAGCTTCACCAGCAGCCTCTTGCGCGCCTGCCGCTGCTGCTCCAGCTCCTCGGCGCGCAGCTGGACCTGCTGGTACTGCGCCTCCTCCCTGCGGGCCTTGTCCCTCAGCTCCCGGTGACGCTCCTTAACCAGGCCCCTGTGGATCTCTTGGGACCGCTGGGAACTCTGTTCCAGGGACAGCTTCCTGAGGAGCTCCTCGGCCTTGGCCTGGCAGTCCCTGAGCATCTTGCGGGCCTGGTAGTTGACTAGGGAGCTGAGCTGGGCCTCCCGCACCTTCTTCTGGCCCATGGTGGCCCGCAGCTGCTTCTTGGGACAGGTCTGAAGCAGCCTCTCCTGCAGCTCCTGGATGTCCTGCTTCCGCTGCTCCTGCTCAAGCTCATGCTCATGCTCCTGCTCAAGCTCATGCTCATGCTCCTGCTCAAGCTCATGCTCAAGCTCATGCTCAAGCTCATGCTCATGCTCAAGCTCATGCTCATGCTCATGCTCAAGCTCATGCTCATGCTCAAGCTCATGCTCATGCTCAAGCTCATGCTCATGCTCATGCTCAAGCTCATGCTCATGCTCAAGCTCATGCTCATGCTCAAGCTCATGCTCATGCTCATGCTCAAGCTCATGCTCATGCTCAAGCTCATGCTCATGCTCAAGCTCATGCTCATGCTCATGCTCAAGCTCATGCTCATGCTCAAGCTCATGCTCATGCTCAAGCTCATGCTCATGCTCAAGCTCATGCTCATGCTCATGCTCAAGCTCATGCTCATGCTCAAGCTCATGCTCATGCTCAAGCTCATGCTCATGCTCCTGCTCTTGCTCCTGCAGGCGCTGCACCTCGCCCTGCTTCCTGAGCGTGGCCTGGGTGCGGGCCCTCTCCTGCCTGGCCTGGCGCTGGGTCTCCTGCTGGGCCGCGTTCTTGGCTTGACTGTCCCCCTGCCTCCGGGCCCGCTGCTGCTCCCGGCTCAGGCGACTCTTGCGCTGCTCTTTCTCCCGCTGCCACAGGGCCCGGTTCTGTTGCCACTGGGCCCGGTTCTGCTGCAGCAGCAGCTTGCGTTCCCTCTCCAGGGTCACCTGGACCTTGTGGTCCGAGCGCTTGAGCTCCTCCCAGGCGGCCGCCGCCAGCTGCTGCAGCTCTCGCATCCTCTGCGCCTTCTTGAGCCGGGTCAGCACCAGGGCCACGATCTTCTGGTCCCCAGAGGACGTCACCGCCTCTTCCAGCTTGTTCTTGAGGATCTGGGTGCGCTGGCTCTTCAGCTCCTGGCCGGGGACTGCGGGCTGGGAGCACCGGCCGGCTGATGACGCCGCCCGGTCACCACTGTCCCTGTCCCTCCTCGGGGTGTACACGCAGGCGGACAGCGCAGAGGACCTCTCCGAGGGGAGAGAGGAGACGGACCAGCAGTCCAGGCCCGCGCAGACCGGCACTGCCCACAGGTCTCCGCTCTGCCCCTCTTCTGCCCCGAAAGTCCCACTTAGGGACGTGTACGCGCCCTCGGGGTACGGCGGGGGCGAGGCTCCCCGGGCTGGAGGGTAGTGCGGGCAGGGCGCGGGCTGTCTGGCTGGCAGCTGGGACTGCAGCCGCCAGGCCGGGCGGTGCAGGCTGCCCCGCAGCGGTTGGGGCTGGGACCTTGGCTCCGTCCAGGCATCTTTGGGGCGCCAGCTGCGGGTCCTGTGCTTCCTGGCGCCGTCGGGGGGCCTCTGGGCCACGTCGCTCAGGCTGCGACTTTCCCGCGGGGAGTCGGGGGACCGGTGGCGGCGAGGCCTGGGGGTGGGCGAGCAGCGTGGGGG